AGTGTGGCCTCTGGGTCAGGCAGGCTGGGTTCAAATCCCAGTCATGCCTTTCCCAGGTATAACTTTGGGCAAACGGCATAGCTTCTCTGTGCCTCAGTCTGTTCACCTGTAAAATGGGGACACGTCCTCAGAGCTGTGAGATGAGGGTTAAGAGTATAGTACATGTAAAGCCCTTTAGGACAGGGTCTGTCTGGCACATAGGGGGAGTGCCTCTGTGGTGTAAGATCCTATTTAAAATTCAAATAAACCTATCCATACTAATAAAAGCATAATTTGCTAATTAGACTGGACAACCTTCCAGACGAAGCTGGGGCTGCGAGGGAAGCCTGGGTCCCGGGTGCTGGAGGGAAGCTGGTTCCAGCAGCTGGGGGAAGAAGATCTACTCCTGCATGAATTACATGCATCGGGCCTCTAGTACATACATAGATATGGGCCAGCAGCATATAATACAGTCAGAGATATCAATTTGGGGGGGCGGGGTCGGAGTGGTGGTTCTGTATTCCTGGAATTCTAGACTCTGGAGTCTAGGGCTCCAAGCCATTTCCTGCCTGGTTCACCTAAGCCGGCTTGAGTAGGACTCTTGTTTCATGTAATCAAAGGAACCCTGCCCAGAACCAGCTTCCTCCTCCCTCTGTCATCTCCCACTTCTCACCTTCAGCTCACGCTCCTGCCCACACCAGGAACAGCACTGTCCACCTCACCCCTCCATCTCCACAAGAGTCGATCCCTCCCTTTTCGGAGTCTTCATCCTATAACACATCTCTACAAAACCTTGCCCTGGCCGCCCAGCCACCGAACCTTCCCGCTCCCTCCAAGCCCAGTTATTGCCCCACCCTTGGAAGCACCAGCCCTGGCGCCATCCCTCAGCTGTCCCAGCCCCTGGGGCAAAGCCCTCACCTCCTCTGAGCTTAGATCCCACCTGTTTAAAAGGGAGATACCACTACCAGCATAGCCTCCTGAATTATTGTGAAGCACCAACCAGAAAATGTGTGCAATGACTGAAAACTGTAAAGTGCCTTCCAAACATGTAAGCCCTTTGCTGGATGCTCGGAAGAATGCAAAGTAATCTGAAGACGAACCTGTCGGCTCTTTATTCCCTGTCACTCTGTCTCCTTTACACCCTCCTGGGAAAGTCCAAGGGGCCCACAGACCCACCAGCCACGCAAGACAGGCTCCGGGAGTATCTGGCGGCTGAACCTTTGTCTCAAGGGAACAGAGACGGAACCTCGCAAACTCTTCCTCCCTCGAGCATTTGGTTCGAGGATGTGGAAAACACAGTCTCTCCGAGTCTGCTCATAAATCTGAATTTCAAGTGCTCTGTGGTCCATAATAAATAATTTACATAAAGGGCCGGTTGGATGGAGCACAGCAGGATACAAGAGGGGAAATCAGGATGCAGTAGCCCAGATTTAATTTGACTGGCCCACGCGCGCACAGAGAAATCCTTAGACCACATTGAAAGGGAAGAGAGCATCTTTTTACATCTCCCTTCGCCCTCTGTGAAAAATCATGATGGAGAGGGGCTGTAAATTATGGCATCTTCAGCTAATTTTACACGACACAGACACAAAACGACTTTATTTTTCCTAATTGTGGAAAAGAATGAAATCGCCGGACCCCCCTTTCTAACCATGTTCTCTCTACCCAAAGGTTCTAATTTAAAACATTTGGTAGAAAAACAATACGGGGGCATTGTTCTTAAGAAAAAAAGATTCGAATCACTTTGAGCTTAATTCTAATATGCGGAGAGGAACATAAGCTTCTCCTGCGTGATGGTACAATGACAAAATGAGTTAATTACCAACTCATCGCAAGACAGATGTACTTGTCATAGGAACAGGAGCCATTATTTCACACAAAATAATGACCCAGATAGAAAGTAATGACTGCAAGCTGTAGCCGCCAGTGACACAGCTTCATCTTGGCCTAAGTGAATGGCAATTAACAAGTGCCACCCTATATACATACACGGGGACCACGCTATTCATTAAATGTGTATTTATTGAAAACACACAAATGGGTTTTAGTCTATTTCTTCCCAGGAAGCTCCCGTAGTCTCCTACCCGTGTGATGACAGAAAAATTTACACTTATGTACAATCCTGCCATCAGCTGGAACAGCTGTTGACCCCGCAGAGGGGCTTTCGGCTCCCCTCTGTTCTCTGCACACACACAGGTGGTGTTTTCTCCAGAAATCCTGTCCAACAGCAGAAAAGAGGATCCGAGGAAAGGGGGGCCCAGTTGCATCCATCCGTCCCTCTTCTCCTGGTTGCCATGGCCACCGGCCTAGAAACTAAAGCCACAGCCAGCCCTGACAGCCAGAAATGCTGGATACGTCCAGGTCCGGCCCTCGGTCATGGGAGTGCGGTGGGTGAATGGTGGGGCAGCCTCAGCACACCTGAGCTCTCCACGGTGGGAAACTGTACTTGCACCCTGCTGACCATGACCAGGAACCACCTCTCTCTGGAGAGGAACAGAGGCGAGAGACTCCAGCACACACAAAGGGAGATAAACCTGGGTAAGAAATCTCAGGGCTTCCCTAGTGTGCACGGTGTCCAGTCTGTCTGGACCCAATGATTTTTATTGAAAAAGCAGGTGCACGGCAGGTGAAAGATGACCCAGTGGGCTTTAACCTGTATACTTTTTGGCCCTGGCCAGGTAGCTCAGTTGGTTAGCAGTGGTTCTCAACCTTCTGGCCCTTTAAATACAGTTCCTCATGTTGTGACCCAACCATAAAATTATTTTTGTTGCTACTTCATAACTGTAATGTTGCTACTGTTATGAATCATAATGTAAATGTCTGATATGCAGGATGGTCTTAGGCGACCCCTGTGAAAGGGTCATTCAACTGCCAAAGGGGTCGTGACCCATAGGTTGAGAACCGCTGGGTTAGAGCGTCGTCCTGACACGCCAAGGTTTCAGGTTCCATCTCTGGTCAAGGCACATACAAGAAGCAACCAACAAATGCATCAACAAGTGGAACAACAAGCCATTGTTTCTCTCTCTGTCTCTCAAATCAATAAAAAAGTTTAAAGTGTATAATTTTTGAAATGCTGAAAACAAACGTAGAATGAATGAGCTAGTGTCAATGACTGATTTAACTATGAAACGAACCATCAGATCCTGATGCACACACACTCACACACACACAACCAGTGTGTGTGGGGGGAACAGAGTGGTGGGATAAGAGTAAACGTTTTCAATAAACACTGGCTTGTCCTTCAAACCATAACTCTGAGGTTATCTCCTCCTCTGCTGGATGGATGTCCATCTACACTTCAGACGCTACAGATACAACAGCATCGAGTGCCTGCTAATCAGGCCGGCATCTCCTTAAGACCTGATATGGGTACTTGCAACAGGTCAGCCACGCAATGATCGGGTTTGGTTAAGACAAAAGCACTAAATCTCATGTTTTTAGAAGAGCGTATATGACGACGTGGCCAGGGCCTCATGCCTCTTTTTCCCACTTACCCTCAACTATTCTCAGCATCTGAGTCTTAATTACAAAACCAAGTCTAAAACTATTTTTCCTCCTCTCAGATGTCCCTGCCCAAGTTTATTAGAACATTTTTACTTGCAGCCATCCAGAGAAGATGGCCCTATTTATATAGACGGCTACGTGAGTTCCACAAACACTTGTGTTCTCAGGCTTATGCATGGGTGAACACAAATGGCTTTCCCCCCATTTCTTAAGTAATAATCTGAATTTTACCAGAGTAAAATTACCGGAAATTTTGACCTGAGATATCATCTGATTCCTAGTCTACAGTCTAGGGCCCTCCCCTGCCTCCCCCCCCCCCCCCCCGCCATACATGAGTGGTTATTCCCCGGGCCTTGTAAACCCTGAACACTCAATAAAGGTTGAAGGGAGGGAGGGAGGCAGGAAGGGAACAACAACAGGAATCACCGGGTGTTTAAAGGGACAATCTAATTATTTCACTCTGCTGCAACATTCCTCTCAACAGCCTCCCACTGTTTTTACAGCCCAGTCCTGGCCCCTTCTCCCACCCCTGACACACATTCCCTTTCTTCCCCAAGGTCCTCTCGTCTTTGGATGCCCCTCGGCTCCCTCCTGCCTCAGGCCCTCACACATGTTGCTTCCTCTGTTTGGAGGGCTCCCCAGGCTGCCCAGCCCCATCACCAGATAACCCCTCCTCATCCTTCTGTCACAGCTCAGGTACCTCCTGATGCCCAGACCACACCATGTGGCTTGTTGTGAGAACAGCAGGGCAGGGGCCACACCTATTTGGGTCCCTGTATCCCAGCACCTAGGACTATTTCCAGCCCAAAGTTAGAAATGGCCAACATAGTTATTGATGAATTCCCTAGTTGACTGATTGGATCTCAAACAAATCATATCACCTCTACAGGGTGTGGAATTGTCAATGCTTGCGGAAGACTGGGGAAGGGAGAACAAGATAAGCATTAAGCAATGAACTGAGGCCCATGTGGGCAAGGGCATTCCTTCTGCAGTCAATGTCATCATATTAAAATCAAGTGGACACTGCAATTAAGCGGCAAACCTCACATGGCATGAAGAGGCATTCAAAACCAGACACATTTCTGGGCAGAGACGGAATCCCCCACAAGTAGGCAACTTTCCCTGGTACGACTGCATACCAGTGGCCACAGGACTCTGCTGTGCTCCCCCTCCAGAAGGGAAAGGGCTGGTGGCAATGAAGACCCACAGGACGAGGGGAATGTGGGATCTGGGAGGGTCACGCCACCTTGAGGATTTGAGGGGAGTCCTGGCAGTGGGGCCCTAGGCCTGTCAGCTGTTAACACCACTCCAGCCTTAAAAGACAGGGTCCAGGGTCCTGCCAGGCTGGGGGCAAGGGAGGAGCCACATGGTTCCAGAGTCAACTTCAGCCTGAGCCATGTGGGGAGGGGCTGCTCCAAGGCCCAGCCCGTGGAGTATGGCTGACCTGCCCCCAGCCAGCCCCTGCCTGTTCCCTCAGGGGAGAACCTGTTCGATGGCATCCTCACTGCAGGGCTCACCTTTTCAACGAACTCTGGGATGATTTTTTGGTCTGTCAGGTGAACTAAGGAGGAACAGCAATCTAATTCCAAGACGTAGCCTTCATTGTGCAGATCAGATTTCTGAGATCTGAAGAGAGAGGGGAAAACACATAGGCAACGATTACAATTTTGCACAGTATTAACAAAATGGAGGTGTTTAATAAAACCCAAAATTATTTTCTGAAAGCAAATGCCAAAAAGGCAGTGCTGAAAAATAATTTCTGGTAAACAACTCGAATCATACAGAGAGAGCTACATCATGCAAAAAACCTCCCACACAAATCATCAGTAAAAAGACATCATTCTAGAATGAACGGGTTAGCACAATATGGGTTACACATTAAACAACACACACCCTACACACACACACACACACACACACACACACACACACACTCCAGTAATGTATGTTTAATACATTAGCTGTATCCCTAATTTTTTTTTACTTTTTTCTGAAGAGAATACATTCACATATTCATCACTTACAAGACTTTAAATGGCTCAATCCCCACAGAAGACAATCTGGCAAAATCTATCAAAATTAAAGATGCAGTAAGAAAAGACTGTAAGGCAATGAGAGAAGAACTTCTGGGAAAAGAGTGGAGGGCTGAGGTAAACACCTACAGCCTTCAGGTCAGAGCAGAGGTGTGCAGGGCGCCCCTGCCCCTGCCCCTGCCCCACACAGGCGGTGGGGCTGCCTCCCCCTTTCCCACCAGATGGACATGCACGGACACAATGCTATGCACATGCAGGAGAACCAGAGGCAAGTGGTCACCAGGACATTCCGCAGCTGCAGCCATTCCTTTCAGGGCTTCTGTAGGACACTAACTTGGGTCTGAACTCCTGGAAGCCACATGGCTGCCAGAATTGAAGGTGATTCCTCCAACAGGAAGTGGGACTGTAGCTAAGGGACAGAACATGCTCTTTCTTCATGGGGAGCGGGACTTAAAGACGAAGCCTGGGCTCTGTCCAGGACTCACACCACAAGCACAGCCACTCGCCACCGAGGGGATGACAAGCCCACTTACTAGGAGCTCCACCAAAGAGGGACCTATGCCAGTCCCTGTGAGTGCAGGGGTAGCCAGAAAATCCTTAAAAAGTGGGCACTGCCACACTGCACCCCACCAAAATAGTTTCCACATGAATATTTGGTATAATAATTTTTAAAAAAGAATTCCTAAGATTCTTATATATCAAACAAGCAATTTATGCTACTATTAACCATCTGGGCATGATTTACATGAAACTCAAAAGTGAAAATATTAAAGAGGATTTGGTTTTCCCCAGGTGTGTAACTGTGATTGGGTAAGCAAGTATCAACAGCATATTTTGACTTTATTGTTCCTTATAACATACCCTTTCACGAGTAGGGACTGAGGCGCAAACTTTTGAAATATAAAAGAATACAATGATTCCAAACTGCTCAAACTGGGATGAGCTAAACCAAAAGAATAAGCCAATTCTGAACCCTACCCTTCTTGTCTAAAAATTTCATCAGAGATTAGACTCATGTTCTCATTCTCCCCCTACCTTTTTATTCCCCTTCCCCCTCCACTAACAAAAGACATAAGAAGAACTACGGGCAGAAGATTCCAGACTTTTGAAAGAGAAGACTGGTCATGACATACTGTCATATGTTTTGTGTGGGTCTCAGACAACAAAGATAGGCGTGGGAGGAGGAGGAGCGTTCTCAGATGTGAAATCCCAGCTGCTCTGTCACATGAAGACTAATGTCAGACTGTATGAGGTTATTTATAAATACCCATTGAGATTCGAAATGATTTAGGCTGAAAAATAGTAATCATCAAGTCAACACTGTATTTACTTGGTTAAACACCCATACAATGAAGGGAGGCAAGAAGAGTCTGGCTCTAAGCAATTCACACCCAGATTCGGAGGAGATCATCTTTAGTTCAGGATCTAATAACTACCATCTTTGCTTCTGGAACAAGAGGTTCTATGCAAAAAAAACACAGCTCTGGTTCATTCTGTCAGATAATTAACTCAGCTACTGAACTGGAAGAAGTATCAAAGATCAACAAAAATCAGCATTATTACAAATTTTCTAGGTGAAACATAAAAAAACACATCTCGGTCTATAGTCTCTTGGTAAAGCAAATCGAATGCATATTGGAGGAAAAGATGAGCAATTATTAAGTCTCCCCTTGCCTTTAGGAATGACCTCCACAATCTGTAATGAAAGGATAGTAACATGGAAGAGTGAAGGGGAGAAGAGGTGGCAAAGACTCCCAAATCCTCTGAGGACAGGTATTGGTTGCCCGAGCCTTCGAAGTCAGCACTCTGGGAAGGTGCTGGGCCAGAGCCGGTTGCGGGCACAGTCACAAAGAAATCCTCCCCCTGCCACCAACCCTATGAAAAACGGTATCAAATACACAGGCAAAGGACTGCCTGTGGGGCTGCCAGAGGGAGTTTCTAGGCTCCTCAGCACTGGGAGTTGGTAGTAATGGTTACTGTGGTGAACATACCCTAAGGCAGTGGTCGGCAAACCGCTGCTCGTGAGCCACATGTGGCTCTTTGGCCCCGAGTGTGATTCTTCCACAAAATACCACATGCGGGCATGCACATACAGTGCGATTGAAACTTCGTGGCCCATGCGCAGAAGTAGGTTTTCGGCCTGGGTGAGTCTATTTTGAAGAAGTGGCGTTAGACGAAGTGGGGGCTGTCGGTTGGTCAGGCCGCCGGATACGCAGTGCGGGGGGAGGCGTGCGTGATTCATCCAAGAGTTGAGTGAGCCAGTCAATCAGCAGTCTCATTGTGCAGTGGTTAGTTAATTTTAGGGAACATTGTGGAGGTGAGTGAAAGAAGATGTAGCGTTGAGGACTGAGAAAGGTTTGGACATATAGAGAGGATGAATGAAAGGAGATAGACGAAACAAGTATACAAGACGAGTGTGGATGGGAGAGTTGGACGGGGCTGACCTCAGCGAACGTACCTCAGATTGAGGACGTTTTTAGCAAAGGCCAGCTTAGGAGTACCCTAATTAAGTTAATAACAATGTACCTACCTATATAGTTTAAGTTTAAAAAATTTGGCTCTCAAAAGAAATTTCAATCGTTATACTGTTGATATTTGGCTCTGTTGACTAATGAGTTTGCCGACCACTGTCCTAAGGTGACACCCAAGTGATCTCCACCTCCTGGAGTTCAAGGCTTTGTGTAATTCTTCCCATTGAGTGGGGGCAGGACCTGGGACTTGCTTCCAATCAGCAGAACATGGCAAAGGGGATGGGATGTCACGCCCATGGTTACATTACGGGGTAAGACTGGAGCTAGAGACTCCCCTTGCTGGCTCTGAAGAGGTAAGCTGCCGTGTTGGGAGAGGGCATGTGGCAAGGAGCTGTGGGCAGCCCCTGGACAACAGTCAGCGAGAAACAGAAATCAGTCCTACAACTGCAAGGAGATCAATTCCACCAATAACCTGAGGGAGCTTGGAAACAGGTCTTTTCCTGGTGGAGCCTCTGATGAGGACACAGACTCAGCCAACACCTAGAATGCAGCCGGATGAGAACACAGATAAGCAACAGAAAGTGTGAGATAATAAATGTATGTTGTTTTGAGCCACTAAGTTTGTGGTAACTTATTACAGAGCATAGAAAACTAGTAACAGTTGCCGGGGAGGAAGATATTGCAGCTTCGGGCTCAGAACAGGCCTCCCACTTAGTGGCAAAGTGTAGGCCCCGGACCACAAGATCCAGTCAGACCCCTGAAAGCAGCCGCTGGCCAGCCATGAGTGTTCTGTGCCACTGAGAGCAAGGACCACTCTGGCACAGAGAAGTGGACATCCCCCGGAAGATGGCAGCTCCAAGTGAGTTGATGGCAATGTAGCAGAGGTGAGAAGTGGATTCTGGATATATTTTCAAGGTAGAACCCTCAAGACTTCCTTATGGACAAGTTGTGGGGTGTGAAGGAAGAAAGCAGGTGAAGATGACTCTAAGGGTTTCTTCCTTGGCAACTGGGAAAATGGATGAAGTTGCCACCACTATGATCGGGAAGGCTGTGGGTGGCGCAGGCTTGGGGGAAGATCAAGAATTACGTTTCAGATGTGCTGAATTTGACATATCAAGCAGATATCCAAGTAGATATGTCAGTAGACAGTTTAATACACATTCGAGTCTGTACTTCAGGAGATAGGGCTAGAGATGTAAATTAAGGGTTATCAGCTTCCAGATGATATTTAAAGCGTGAGACTAGATGAGATCTCAATTAGTGTAAAGAGAGAGCACTTAGGAATGAGCTTTGGGACTATGATGAGGTTGGGGAGAAAAGAGGAGAAAGCAGCAAAGGAGACAGAAAGAGTATCCGGGGAGGATGGAAAGAAACCAAGAGACCGTACTATCCTGGAAGTCAAATCAAGAATGCATTTCAAGAGGGAGGCTATGAGCCACCCTGTCAATTGCTTCAATTAACAAATTTATAATCGTCTCTTTAATTTACTTATCTTTTAGAAATCCCAAGAAGGAAATTGGACTTCATTCACCCTATGGAAACAGGTATGAGGAAATCTGTTCACATTGAATGTCTGAGTAACCTGTTCAATGGGCCACTGATCAAATTAATCTGTGGATCTGGTTCAGAAGAGTCTGGCTCCTTGAAAAGAAGCCATCTTCATGCTGCTGGGTCATTTCCCAGAAACGGCTGGGGCTAACCTGAACTAAAAAGAGCTCTGACCCATCCCTCATCTTAGGGCCCTCACAGGTATACCGGGATTTTCTGAAAGGAAGAGGGAATAAAAGGGTATTATTGAGCAGAGATGCGATGTCCTGAAAGCTAAGAAAGAGTAAAACAAAATGAATTCAAATGCTTCGAGTGTAGCAACGTGTTGTTATCCAGGCACAAAACCACAGTGGCCCTGACTGCTTCAGACACTGGAGAAGCAGCTGAGACACCAGAGCCCATCACATTGAAAAAAGCCATCCCAACATGACAATTACTGCAGGACAGTGCCCTGCCTGGTATCCGGGAACTGAAAGAGAATATTAATAGAAAAAACTGATGAAATGCAAATAAAACCCACAATTTAGTTAACAGTAATGTATCCATATCCATCTCTTATTTTGACAACTGTATC